TCATACCATCATAACATATATGAGAAGAACATCACCCGTGTCATGTCAACAACTGGTTTTTAAATAAATGTAGCATAGTTGTGAATACATGTAAAAATAAATGTAGCATAGTTGTGAATACATGTAGCATAGTTGTGAATACATGTAAAAAATATCTTAATAGCAAAAAAATCGTAAGGGGTTCCGCGGAACCCTGTGTCTCGCCTGCGATTGCTGCTATCAGTGTAAAGTGCAATGTTGACTTAAAAAGAGAGTCCATTTATCAGTATAAAGAACTTTAAAAAAAAATTCCAACTTTTTATTTAGATGCTTTTTCCTGGTCTTGAAGATTAGCTTATGTCCAAGTTTCATAACAATCCATGAAGGCTTAAAAATGTCAAAAAAAGTTTATACCAGACTGTCTGTAAATGTTACCTGTAAAAAACTAAGTCCATCTATCAGAAAAAACTGTGAAAATAAAAAAAAATATTTTCAAAGGTTTGCTACAAACGCAGATGATTAAGACATCCCCTCCGTTTCCAGCGTTCATGCATTCCCCCAAAAAAGATATTGGTAAATCTAAAAAATTGTATAAGCCTTTTATAAGTTTTGTAATCCACTTCAATTTCTATACAAGGCTATTTTAAATTTATTAAACTACAAAGCGAAAATATTTTCCACTTTCATCAGCTAAAGACGGCTAGCTTTTTAGAAAAGCTATTACTTGTTTCAGAATTGAATTGAAAGAAAAAGATGTAACGAGATCTGAATGATTAAATTTTATTTCGACCTAACCGAGTGCACATTTAGTGTTGACATCCAATACGTTTAAGCCTTTGTTAACTTTCTCCTTATTCCGATGTAGCTGTCCTGTTTAGACTGTGCTTACAAGATTACAATGCTAGTAGTTTATTTTAAACAAGCTTCCGAAACCATATCGGATTTATTCTGTACAGTCCAATAAATTTCTAAGACTGTTTACACTTGAAACATAGAGAAAGTTGTTCGGCCAAATAGCCAATTTCAACTACTTCTCTTTTTTCATTCCATGCCAATAAACCAGTTTCTGTCTGAGTTTGTACGTCATGCATGGTGCTTTTTTTCGCTAAATTCTATCGGTATTCTTTTCCTAATAAATTTCCCTTTTCTATTTTGCTAGCGACGTTTTTCGGTGACTATTTAAAAACGAATGGGCTTCTTAGCGGAATTGCATTAATTGTGATACAATTCCCCGTATTTTCATACATTATCATGCGTTTCTAAAATTTGGATTTCTACTTTCAAAACAAAATTTCATCGGAAAACGGCGTGCATCCTTAATAAGAATGTATTTCAAAACAAAAAAACCCAACCCAGAATAAAAAACTCAGTCTGTTATGAATAAGAACATGTATAGATAAATCGTACAAATGCTTACTTATCAATAGAAACAGAACATTTAAAAAGTATATATTTAAATGTGAAGAATGAGAAGAAAGGGAGGAAGACGCCGAAGCAATCAATTTCAAATAACGTATTGCATCAAATCCCTCGACATTCTGCATCTATGCAAAGTTACTATTATAATATTAATAAAATTAAAAGGTTAATTTACTGTTTATATTTCACCTAAGTATGATTTTTTTCTCTCACTTTTGTTCTAATTATGCAAGATTTATAGTTTTGTGATTGGATATGATACGTATAGAAAGCGACGCTAAAATGAAGGTATTTTTAATATATAATCACATATTATTTGCAAATTTGAAATAAAGAAACATTTATCTTTCAACTATTTTATACCAGACTGAGGCAAATTGTTTGTTTAATTCGTTCTAAGTTATTATAAAACATAAGGTTTTACGTATGCCGTCAATTTCAAAGATGTCGACAACAGCAGGAAGGATAACTCGTGGCGTAACGTCATTCGGTATCGTGTAACCTTAATTGAGTTTCCTGCTTGTTTTTTACAAGTAATTAGTTTATTAGATACACAGTGATTAATTCTATATACAAACAAGAATAAATCAGTTTTTTTTATTAGCATATAAAAATTCACAATTCAAAGTATCTGAAAACAAGAAGTATCTTCAAATTTTGACACATCAAAAATGGCAGACACAACTCATCATGGTCAAGCCACTAACCAAATATGAAGTCATTCTGTTCAGCAGCATTACCAATAGAAGTAATGAAAAATTAGAGAGCATTCAACATATTGAAATAGATGTATAAGCAAACAGGAAACGGGTATATGAGTGGCAGATTAAAAAATGTTCACACATCTCAGTTCCTCACTATCAAGCAGCTCATCAAATATGAACTCATCCTGATCAGCAGTTTTTGGGAAAACAGTAATGAAAATATTTGTTGGACAAATATAGATGGACGGACGACAGACAGTGCAAGGAAACTCACATTCCTACCACAATGGTATAATGTTTAGTTTTTCACTCTCAACTTTTATTACATATCTTATACACATCATGCATATGCCAACCTGAAAATGCATGAAATATTTTCCACTGGACATTAAGCAAACATCAATCTGTTCATTATACACACTTTAAAGTTGAGGTTACATTGACTAAAACTTGTGTCCCTATTTCAGATTTTTCAATATAACTTACTATATCTTATCTTGAAAAAAAAAAAACAAAAACAAAAACAATTGGCTTATTCCACAAAACGTTGTTTGTGGGGTTTTGAACAAAGTTTAAATAAAAAGTTATTTTTATATCCGTAAAATGTTGAATAAAATATCAGTAAGACTTTTAAATAAAGTGTATGTCAAAGTATTTTATAGAAAACATTTAGCTGATATTTTTGAGATGTTAAATGTAAAACATTTTAATTTTACGTTATAAAACATTTTATGCAAATAGCAAAACTATATTTTCTGTAAAACATTTTTTGCAGAATGTTTTTTTGGATATTTGGAAAATATTTACTTTAAATGTAGTAACAATATGAAATACTAATTGAAGAAAATATTATTTTTATATATTATAGAAATATAAACGAGATATTTTAGAACAATGTTTGAGAACAAATAAAAAGATATTAGCAAATAGGTTTTGAATGTTGTAAAAACATTTTACTTAAATGTTAGACATGAAACATTTCAAAACAATACATTTTTTTTATGTTCAAATGATATCGTATTGCAATGTTTTCGGAGAGACGTCCATATGACATTTTAAAAAATGTTTTTAAAATGTTATGTGTTTGCTGGGGAGTACCTTACACTCTTATAATATTTGACACCAATGGACTAATTAACACCTGACAGCCATTTTATAATTTTTATTAAATATACGCGAATAATACCCTTCGTTTTCTCTGACTGTTTATGACGTCTTTGTACTAAATCCATTGGAAGCTGGATGTGTACTGATTGATAATTTAGTCTTAGATGCATGATTTTTTTTATTAGTTTTTAGTGGCTTTGAACTAGCTGTCAGTAACTTCGAGTACCCTCAGATCAGTACTTAGTGAATTTTTGTTGTTGGGATATACAAGTACCCGGCCACGTCCACTCTGTGTTTTTGTTAGATGTATGTTATTCCCGCCGCATTTTTGCGTCTGTCCCAAGTCAGGAGCCTCTGGCCTTTGTTAGTCTTGTATGTTTCATTAGTTCATTTATATATTTTGGAGTTTAGTGTGACGTCCATTTTCACGGAACTAGTACACATTTTATTTAGGGGCAAGCTGAGGACCACTTCCAGGTGCGGGATTTTATCGCTGCGTTGAAGACCCATGGGTGGCCTTCGGCTGTTGTCTGCTCTTTGGTCGGGTTGTTGTCTCTTTGACATATTCCCCATTTCCATTCTCAATTTTATTTGTATCCATCTGAAGAGTTAAGCCTTTTTCAACTGATTTTTATAGTTCGTTCTTATGTTGTACTGTTACACCACGTACTGTCCCAGGTTAGGGGGAGGGTTGGGATCCCACTAACATGTTTAACCCCGCCACATTCTGTATGTATGTGTCTGTCCTATGTCAGGAGCCTGTAATTCAGTAGTTGTCGTTTGTTGATGTGTTACATATTTGTTTTTCGTACATCTTTTGTACATAAATTAGGCCGTTATTTTTCTCGTTTGAAATGTTTTACATTTGTCATTTCGGGGTCTTTTATAGCTGACTGTGCGGTATGGGTTATAAAGTTGTTAATTTCTGTGTCATTTGGTCTCTTGTGGAGAGTTGTCTCATTGGCAATCATACCACATTTTTTTTTATAATTAATTGGTAGAAAGTACCAAACGCGAGACCAAACGTATGCATACATTTTCGTCGATTGTTTTTCTCTCGCCTTTTTCCTTTACCCGCGAAATTTGCAAAAATAAACACCCCGCAAAAAAATAACCCGCTACAAAGTCTTAACAAAACACGGAGGAAATCATAGCTGAGTATTATACACCTCATACCTTTAAATCCTTAATACTGTAGATGTAAACGCTGACTTCACTTTACTTACTAATGCTTACATTTAGAATGATCAAATTCTATGATTGTCATCGTTTATATAAGAGAAAGTTCATGAAATGTTCCCTAATAAATTTACGTAATCGGATTGGTTAATTTTGAATTCGGCAAATTTTTTCGATCGATAATCATTTCAGTTAAATTTACCTGTTTTAGCGACCAGAAGTTATTTTCTTTGCTCCTTAGGTAGTCTTCAATATCCTCAAATTTCCTCAAACATCATTTCAACAAATAAAAACAAGTTTATTAAAATGGAAATGAGTTTCAGGTTTTATGTCAGTTTGCAAAAAATCTAGACAAAGAAATTATCCTAATTTCATAGGAATTATTTGATTATGATATGTTTACATTTCTGTTCACTCGCCCGTGTACATAGAGCCTTCAGGTCATTGAAAACGAAAGTATGTATTGAATTAGAAAATGTCGTGTTTATCCGTTAAAAATTCTATAGTTAAAAGGATTTCAGTTTAAAAGAGAATATTAAGGAAATGATAAATTATTATATTTTGTAACGGGTATTTATTGTATCGTATATGGGTCATCGCAAATTCCCTTTTTCTATTTTTAGATATTATATATTACTAGGTTTGTCCGTTCTGTTTTTACCGGGATCGGTTATCTCGTGCTAGAGACTCAATGTTCAGACTTGGATATTAAAAACTCGTCTTGACAATTAATATTTCTTTAGATTGGGGAAAGCTTTCGTACTGGTAAGTAGTGCTTTAAATTTCATTTTACTTGTTTTAAATGTTTAACTTCAATATTAATTTCTTTACAATTGATATATATGTTTCGGTTTTTTAAAATTAAACTCATCTACATTCATAATTTACGTTTCCGTTCCCAAAAAAATATAATGAATTGAACGCTAGCCAGATATTTTATGATTTTGGCTTTATAAAGAGATGGTATACATTTTTGTATCAATATTGATGAAAATGGTTAATCTGAGAGGGATATTTTAGATACCTTCACCTGTCGAGGACACCAACTACAATTTAAATTTGGCATAACTTGAACACGCACAATGTCATCCTAACTTTGGTTTCGAGATTCTTTAATATTTACCTGTCAAAAGAAGAGAGGACTTTATTTGTTCAATTGTGTATCAGAACTAAGTGTTTTGTTAGGCATTTAATGGCAACGAAGGTTTGATATTGTACGTATATGTACATACTGACAGTTGACATAGTCAAAATGTCAAAAAGATAAGTGTTTAGATAAAGGAATTACAGAAAAAAAAATACCTAAATATAAAATTGATGGCTACAATAAACAATAGAAATTAATATATCAGAATATTTTTACAGGATAATTGGTTCCCTATTTGAAATAAAGATATCAATCATTTCTGCACCTCAGTGATTTTATTTATTTTGCAACGCAATATGACTAATGTATCACCCGATAGTATTTTAGATATTTAAAAACTCATTGTTATGCATATCGAACATAATATCTTATCAAAATTTTAGTTCCAAAAATATCTATGTTCAAGTGGCCTTTTTACATCACAGATCGATATCATCAGTAATATGATATTTTTCAAAAAGATATTAATGAATTTATTTAGTAGTGTGCATTTTTATCAGGGTGACAAGGTGATGAGTTTGTAATTTACCATCCTTTTTGTCTGTAAGTACACTTCGACGTCAAAATGTGTTTGATAATTAATAGGTGTACAAAAGAAAAAGTGAAAATTTAAACTCAGGTTAACCAGGTAAAGTCAGGATTCTACTTCGTCAAACTTATCTCACCGTTACGCCAAGTAATTTTTATAAAAGTAAAAATGGATGCAATTGTAGTGATGACGCACTGTCAAAAAATTGAAAACAACACGTTTAATAATTTCATGCGTCCGAAGCGCTTTTCTGGATTTACCTTCATCAGGAACGCTCAATGCCAAACATTTGAAATCCGAGTGATGTATAAGTACCGAAACAGTTGAAGAGCTATATAACAAAAATACCTAAAACAAATAGCCAAATTCGTCAATTTAGATCTTGAAAACCGATCAATTTATCAAAATATCATCATTACGATCCTTATATGACAGTTGTATCGTAAAAGACAAATGTTTCTACAAGTTATTGAGCATCGTACTTTTATGCATTTTTTGAACTATTGTCTGATCGATTGTTAGGGGGAAATTTCGAAAGTTCAAACATATCTAAAATAAAAATAATTAGATATTTCGTGGAAGGGCAGACTAAAACATTTTCCGAGGTTTCATACTTACTATCAAAGATAACACACGCAAAAAGATGTTTTGACGTTATGCCTTTTTAAGATCCACTTGTAATGTCTGTCGTCAAGTACTTTTTAGTAAAAATTTGGTATTCAAACACACCTACTTTGTTGTTATGACTCATCACAAAGGTATTTCACTTGACGTATAGATTTCATTTTTAGTACAGTTAATGATATCATATTAATATACAGCTTAAATATGTAAAATAATAGAATCTTAAGCGAGATGATGTATAAAATATTTTTCGTTAATGCGTTTTCAAGACAGGATAGTCAACTCAAACACGCCTGAACATAAAAAGGTGTACTCGACTTTCTCTTTTAAATGAATGTATTGTCAATTATTTATGCACAAAAGGATACACATGTGTTTACACTTACCACAATCGACTGTTTTCTGAAAATGTGTCTATAATTCAAAAGTTTACAAATATCTCGAAATTCCATACCATGATATAAGTACAAACACACATACAAGATGCATAACAATCTAAATAATGCACATTTATCAAACTTTTAAAGCCCATGAAACAAATGTAAACAATTCAAATTTAGCCTTGTTTACATTTTTTTAACAAAGAGTACCATTTCTTTTGTTTATATTCAACTGGGTGTCCGCCTGGGTACTTTTATAGGTTTTCAATTAAAAATCAACTGTTTAGATAAGATTATCTATGTCGAAACTAAAAATTAGCTAAATAGGTGTTATCTTTAGCTCCTGTCAATGCTAAATTGCATCAACATATTCAAATAACTACAAAAATGAAAGAGTTTGCTTTTTTTTATCAATGAATATGATTTTTTGATACCGTTTGAAAACTCGTACGGTATTCAAAACACGTAGTTACCTTTTGGTGCCTCATATTTTGTGGGAATACCATATCATAACGTTGAGAAAAAAAGCAATGTCTTCCGCCAAATTGAACATTCGGTTTATCAGAAAATCACACTTCATGACAAAATGAAAGTGGGTCTCTTTTAAGGGACATGAATGCACACTATTTTTTATCTTTATTAACATGTTACATTTGTAATTATGCGTAATTTTAAATACGTCAAATTGATGTTATACCACTTAAGATTCAATAATAGTTATGACGACATCATCAAATAAACTGTAATTACTGGACCAACCTACACTCTCCCTTGAAATCTATTCGATCCCTAAAGGTAAAGCAAATTAGCAAACATGTGTTGGTCTTCTTTTGGGTGAAAGATAATCCCTTCAAATAAATACTCGCGCGAGTCCGTTTTATAATAGGCATAATTCGGTTTCGCGTTTTCACTTTTCGCCCTATAGAATAGTAATGAACCAGATAATATTCATTTTTTTTTCTGTTCCAAAGTATTCTATCAGTGACCATTATCCAGTATGCATTTCTCACAAAAGAGGGTTAAAATCGAAAAAGAAAATTCATGAATATATGACGTTCAGATCTACTAAACAGTTTAATGAAAGTGATTTTATCAATCACATATCACAGTGTTCATTTGATAGTGTATTAGAAATTGATGACCCCGAAGAAGCATTGTTGTCATTTTTAAATATTTTTACTGAAGTATTAGATCATCATGCTCCACTCATTAAAAAGAGAGTAAAACGTTTGTATCAAAATGAGTGAATGAATGATAAAATTCCAGATAGCATGAGAAAACGTGATTTTTATCATAAGAAAAAAGATATGTATAGTTATAGACTCTGGAGAAACAAAGTCAAATATCTCATCGAAAACTCTAAACAAAATTATTATACCAATATCATAGAACACAAAAAGGGCAACAGTAGTAAATTATGGAAACACCTACATACTGTCAGCGGAACCGACAATCATACCAGTATTAAAATCATAAGTGATTGTAACAAAAAGGAAATTTTAGAACCGAAAAGCGTTGCTGATGTATTTAATGCTTATTTCACAAATATCACAGATAATCTTAATATAAATCAAAGCAGCAACAATAGCTCTTTTAACAAACTTGATGATTTCATATCAGGTCATGTACCAGATAACGTGTATTTTTCTATACCACTTATGAGTAATGATTTTGTGTGTTTACAAATAAAAGCACTAGATGAATCAAAAGCAACAGGTCTTGATAACATAAGTGCAAAGTTTTTAAAGATGTCTTCTCATGCTATTTCACTACCACTTTGTCATATTTTTAACTTAAGTATTTAAAAATGTATTTTTCCATCTTCATTTAAACTGGCAAAAGTCATACCAGTTTATAAGAACAAAGGTTCAAAACAGGATGTTTTTAATTACAGACTAATTGTAATTTTACCACTCATTTCTAAAATCCTCGAAAAACATGTGAAAACACACTTAGTAAAGTATCTTAATAAATACAACTTATTGTATAGAATGCAGTCAGGCTTTCGCGCAAACCATTCTTGTCAAACTGCGTTAACAGCTTTATTGGATAAATGGCTTAAAGCCATTGATGATGGCGATCTTGTTGGGGCAGTGTTTCTAGATCTAGCAAAAGCCTTTGATCTTCTCAATCATGAACTGCTTATTCAAAAATTAAACAAATACAAATTTGCTTATACTTCGCTACGATGGTTTACATCATATTTGGCTGACAGATATCAGATGGTATCTATTTCAAATACATTTTCAGACTTACAAAAACAAAAAACCGGTGTACCTCAAGGATCCGTTTTAGGACCTGTGTTGTTTTTAATTTTTATAAATGATCTTCCTTTGTCTAATCCTAATCATAACACCGATTTATTTGCTGATGATAGCACCATATCAGTCATTGGACAAAATAAAAGTTGTATCAGTCATAAACTTAATACGGTTTTACAAGATATTTTTCGCTGGTGTGATGACAATAAAATGGCTGTAAATGTATCTAAAACGAAGGCTATATGTATTGGCTCTAAACAGAAGCTTTCAGTTACATCAAATGAAAACATTAATATTGCTATGAATGGACAACAAATTAAAGAAAGTACATGTGAAAAGGTTCTAGGTATTTTTGTTGATGCATCTCTATCCTGGTCTTCTCATATTGATTATATCATAAAAAGGGTTAACTCTTCTTTAACTTTACTAAAAAGGATAAAGAAATATTTAAATCACAAAGCTAGACAAATGTTCTATAACGCTTACGTTTTACCTCACTTAGATTATTGTTGTTCAATATGGGGAAACTGTAATAACTTTCTATTAGATAGTTTACTAAAACTGCAAAAGAGGGCAGCAAGAATAATTTTAGACGAACATGATTACACCAAACCTTCAAGCGAATTATTTCACGAATGTAACATTGTGCCGATTACACAAAGAATACATTATCATAAATCATTACTAATGTATAAGGCAAAACATGGCTTAGCTCCAGAATATATGTCCAGTCTTATTTTATCAGCTTCTGCAAACCAAAAATACAATACGAGATTTTCGTCCTCAGATAATTTTATAATTCCAAAACCAAATACAGAGTTGTATAAGTCTAGTTTCTCGTACAATGGACCAAAAGTATGGAATGCTCTTCCTAATTCAATTAAAAAATCAAACACAGTATTAGAATTTAAACATTACTACAAATCTATGTACTTTTAACATTACCATGATATTTGTACTGTAATGCCATATATAATAATTGTTTATTGTATTTAAATTGTATTACATCTTTATTTATCATTATTATTGAATATGTATTGTTTATTTTTAATGTAATTATTATTGTATTTAGAGAGCCTCATTGAAAATTTGTATAATCCAAATGAGTTACTCTCTCTAAATAAAGATATTATTATTATTATTATTATTATGAAATACAAAAGGCGAAATCATAAAAACGCGAAATGGCCTTAACCGGTCACCATAGTTTATGCATTTTTTTAAATTTAGCAGGTTAGTTTTCCTCTGACATAAAATGATCGCTTAAAATTACTACATCTTGCCCGTAAAACCCCTATTATGAATGATTCGGTGTGCACATGTAACATTTCTGTTTTTATCTTACAGACTATGAACACAATGATGCCAAATGCATTTGTACAGGGTATCTGTCTATTAATTTTCTGGTCTGCTGTAAAAGGTAAGCACAAATAATGATAAACATCTACTTTTATCGCGTTCTTTATGAACATATATGGACCAAAAGTTCACGACTAACAAAGCAAATCAAACATATTAAATCAATTCGGTTGCTATTGTTTCCTTAATAAAAATCGCACATAAAATTTTTCTCAGATAAAATCATGAATATATAACACAATAACATCTTAGACAATCTAAAATCTCACCTGTCATGCATTTTTAACAAGTGAAACACTAAATATCAATTCGTTTGTATATCTCATTAATATTGATATTCATGAATAAATTTTTATATTTTCAGGAGTTGAATTTTACAATTTCTTTATTACGGATATAGAGTGCATCGATGGAAACGTTAGTGTAACCATGATATGCAATGTGAATAATACCAGAAATGGGATCAAAATTTGTAGAAATAACCAGGAAATAGCATATTGTACAACATACTATTTAGTTTCAATAATTGCGTGCACAAACACCAGTCAACAGTATGAAATCACTAATCTAACAATAGTTAATGACTCAATGATTTACCGAATCGAATCAGCACCGATAGACAATCTCATTGGAAAATGGGTATGCCAAAATGGAGGATCAAATGATCCGAGTTGGAGTTTATCATTTCCTAATATAACATGTAAGTATGGATACATTTTCGTATCATTATTCTATGGTTAACTCCCATACGTTCATATGAAACGATGGTCATTTGTAGAGCATGAACTTATTTATCATACATCTATTTGATTGGGAAATTTTAAGTAAGTTCTTATTAGATTTTAATGCATAAATAATCGTACAAAATTTTATGAAACTCGAATTAACTTTCAGGTACAATGAAACGAGATAAGCATAGCTGTAGTATGCATATAGCAAATCAAACCACATTAAGAATATTAAGTGTCATCTTGTTCAGCCCTTGAATCATTGTCTTATTTTCAGCTTTTCTATTTTCTGTGGCCACGGACTGGGCTATGCTTGCATTATCTTCAATCATTGGTAAATGTTTGGAAACAGGTTCCCCTGCATTACAATCAATTGTAAATGTCCCGTTTATGGTTTCGCTATGTCAAGTTTCCTAAAATACTGTTTTAACATATGTCAGAATAAAAAATAGAAAAAAGAAAACGCAACTTATCACGTTATAAGACGTTAACGACGAAATGATGCACAAACAAATGTAGGAAATCAAGTGCTGATACTATTTATTCGCTAATTGTACTGTGTTGCTCTGCTGATTTACACAAAACGATTCATTGCTGTCGATAAAAAAAGTTCGATACAAGTTTACATCATTTAGGCCTTAAATTGAGTGTTTTGCGTCTCGTTTTTGAAATGCAATTTTGATAATTTGTTTCCAACATAGGTCTTGCCGCCATTAATTGGGCAGTATCCTTCACTACATTCGGTGAATTTTAAACTGCAAAAATTAATCACACTGGTCGAACATATTCTCAACCAAGTTAATCGAGGGACCATGATACCAAGAACAAAAGTCCATTACCTCGAAACACACCTCAAAATACTGATGGATTCAAACAAGGGTTATGAGACACCTTGGATAAACCTGAAAAAAAATTATTTATTTTTTTCTTACAAAGGCATTTATACGGGAGTATTGATCATCACATTGCACATTATTGCTAAGATACTTAACCCTTCGAACGCGTGACATTATTTATTTCTCCTTTTTTGAAAGCAATTATATAGAATAACATTATGAAAATGTTTTCCGATTAACAAATATATTTTTGACACTTATATAAACATGATAATCAAGACCTTCCAAATATACCAGGCTTACTATTTAAAAAGCCAGACATGCGTGTAGTCTCCATAAGACCAATCACTAACACACTTTAAAGGTTAGGACAATTGAATCGTATCTCGTAAATAATGTTAAAAAAACAATAATCCAATGGAATAGAAATATATAATTCAGTGACATAGGAAGAAACGTTAAATTCCGTAAGTTTATGATTTACCAAAAGTCTCAAATGTCCTCACCATACTTACAAAAGTACAAAATTAAACACCAATAATCGGGTTATGTCTGCTTGCTCTCCGGTTTAATCCATCAATGTAACATACTGTCAGCTTTAATGTAGGTAGTTGAAAGTGATATTACACACAAATCAACAAAGAAAATAAAATAAAACAATTACATATTTACTTTGTGGTAAGAACTACGAGGGAAGTTGAACAAATTATAATAGAAATGTTTAAGAATTTAGAATAGTTAACATGTGTCTATGACTTAATTCAAGTTTCCACCTTAATTAGAGGTATTCTATTTCATTTATCCTTTTTAATTGTAGGTCCACCGAAAAACAATCCGGCGCCAAAATGTGATCATGATAATGGCAAGTTAACTATTTAAATTTTCACATGGCAAAAAGTTAGTTAAAATGTTAAAATAGTCATACATAAAAGTAGAATAGTCAGTAGATAAAAGTATTAACATCCAATACATGTTATTACAATTGCATGTATTTTGCTGCGATTTGACATTTTTAACTCTTCAGAGTCTTGTATTATCCTTTTATTTTTAGGGAAAGGAGTTGAAATATGAATAGGGAGGATTTAAAATAAGAACAGTGATATGTGAAAGAAGTACACTAAGAGTTATGTTCGTTATTATAATAATATGTGCAACATATGGAGTAGGATCCGCTTATCATTCCGGAAAACATGATACCATTTCCTATGTATGATTAGTTCTTCATGTTCTTGTTGCTCCGTCTATTGTTTTATTTGTTGTGTTTTGTATACTTTTGTTTTTCTTTTAATCATTTTTCGGTTTTTGCCGTAGCGCTGTCTTTTTGTGATTGAGTTATGAATTTGAATATCGCTTTGATATCTTCTGTCTGTAGTTTGAATAAATGTTGACATACATTGGTAAACATATTAGCAACATACTCTATTACATTTGATATTTATTTTTACTTGCATTCATCTTCTGACATTTACAGTTTATACCATTTTGGTATAATCACAGAAGAAAAATTGATAATTTTAACGTTAATTTGTACATTTTCCTTTTTATGTGTACTTGTTTATACTGTTTATATTATAAAAAATAAACCGAGCCAGTTCAACATTGGTATGATCGAATGAATATCGCATACGGATGAACTTTTCCGATCATTTACAAAGCTTCACGAGATTTGTTTTCGCAGAAATTTGAGAGCGTCTTTGTAAATGAAATATTAGTCATTAGTTGAAATGTTTGTAGCTTCTTTAAACCGTATTTTTGTAAATGAACTCATCATAGACACCAGGATTGGAATTATGTACGCCAGATGCGCGTTTCGCTCACAAAAGACATACCAGTGACGCTTGAATCATGTAATTGTTTTTAAAAATTGCAATCGAAAATGCACGGAAAATTGGATGTACTAAGAACACTCAGTCAGTGTGAAATGTTTATCTTTCATCGAATTCACATCCATACCCGGATTGTCGTTTTATATCTCATCTAACTATCCCAATCTGAGTTTTCACATATTCATACTTATTAACTAGAATGTAAAATGATATGGTGCTGTTTCGAGGAGTATTTTTATTTTCTATTACGTTGGAAGATCGTGCTCAAAATGTTTAGTCACTGTGAAGTGTTAAAATTCATATTTAGACGCAACGCATAAATAACTACCAGAAAGGTAGAACATGAGAGATGCCGAAACAAAATTAAACATAACAAAAATACATTGTTATTCGAAATTTCTTGTGAGACTACCAAATGACCTTGGTATATTCGGTATAATTTACATGTTTAATATCACCTTGGAAGACCATGAAAAGCGCCCATGCCTTCTTGTCGAAAAAATGCCTATAGAAACATAGTGTCTTGTTCCGAAAATTTTAAAGCTCCGTAAGATTCAATTTGGGTTTTGCTGCCACTTCTTTTAAAAGAAGTTCTAACATTTTCAATGAAAATTACAGAACAAAGTAAGCAAACGATATATTTCTAGACTGGGATTAATGGCCAAGTGTCAGATCTCGTCCCTGTCGGACACTTGTCACATATGATCTAGTTTAAATGAAAACCGATAGCAAGGCTTTATGATCCAAAGGGGAAAATCCAAAAGTTGCCAGAACCATCTGAACAGGTTCCGTGTTAAATTGTAAAGATTCAAGCTCGGTCCGACTCCCCCCTTCTGAAGCATCCTTTAACCAAAACACATCTTACGGTCGTCTTTCAAAACTCAATGCCACCATCTGATCTGAGCAACAGGCACAATATGCCCATCTATTTCAATTGCACATATTTTTTATTTTTTTTATTAGTTACAACTTTTCAACTGATTTTGATAGTTTGTTTTTAAGTTGTGATGTTACACCACTGTCTGAAGTCGGGAGCCTATAGCTCAGTGGGTGCTGTTGGTTCATGTCTGTCATATTTGTTTTTCGTAAATTGTTTCGTTATAAATTAACCCGTTAGTTTTTTCAATTGAACTTCTTTATATTTTTCATACCACATCTCTATATTTTTATAAAGTCTTGATGTATGCACATATATTGGTTTTGGATCGGTCTTGTTTGAAGATCAACTTTCATCTGATTTCCTTCACGGTTTGGTCTTTCTGTGAACAGAATTTGTCCTGTGCCGAACTTTGTCAATGTCAACCATCAGACCTTTGTCAAATTATATCAAAACACACCAAAAAGATTTTGATGATGATGATGATGCTTGATTATCTGACCTATCTACGTCTTATACATTTTAATAACTTTAAAAAAAATGATTTACATTCAGTTCTTGCTGGCCACTTTTACATGTGTGTAAGTTTCACACAAAAACTATTTCTTATGATAGTGCGATCGGCACATCTGAACGTCAAATAACGCCAAGAAACGTTGATATAATATTATTGTAAATACTGATATATTTTATCAACTTAATACGAATACATTTTTATAATACAACAGAAATATCATAGACAGTTTTTGTGTGAAATGAAAATGACACAACAATTACTTATATCCAGTGGAACTGAATTCAATCAAACTAACGTAAACCCCCCTTTACTAGACGTTAAAGTTTTAACTATAACAAGTCGTTTAAGGACTTCATTGTTATGTAAATTTGTATAATCAAAGTTCAAGGTTATCCTTGCATGGAAACAAAAATGAAGTCATAAATAAGCAAACTTTTTTAGCTAATGGAAAACGTCAATTTTAACGTTTAAAACCCGTTATTCGACAAAACAAATTCGTATCACTTACAGCGACTTCATCAATGCTGAATAAAATGATGTTTTCTAGTTTTTCCAAATATTTTAAATTCCTGAATTGAACCTGAAATTTACAGTTAAGACATGATTTGGAAATACCTAATTATTGACCTTTGATCGCCATTATGCAAAATTGGACCACTTCTCAGACTTACGGCATCATTAATCTGAAAGATTACAATTTTCTCTTTTCAGTGAAATTTGATTTAGCTGTGTGTTTGACGGATGCATTAAATTTATATTTTTATGTTTCGACCACTGGTCTTTTATTGATTCATTAAAAGCTTGAATTCTAAGGAAGATAACTCATGTGTACTATACAATATTGTAAGCCGCCTATAAAAAATACCAAACTATAATTAAATATATTCTTACAACCGGTAAGGTTAACAGCACATCACATAATCATAGGTATCAAACTAAATCAATATGGGTCCTGAAACCCCAAAATGTGAACAAAACTACTCGGACTCAAATTATGAAAATATACAATGTGACAAGTACTCATTTCTCATTCCTACTTGTACTTCATAAAACCTACTTAATACAAAACTATTAATTTGTATAAATGGAAATATTTTTTCCGTCTTTTGTTTATCAAACCGCCATTGATAAAATATACCATATTGGGAAAGCGGTAGTATCTATTCTTCAATAGGCGACAATCCTATTTTTAAAAAAATTTACTACTGTTACAAAAAAAAAAAGAAAAACCTGGACAAAACAGTTATGTGTGACATAAGTACTTTATTATTCTATTTTGGAAACTAAAGTCAAATGGTATCATGACCATCTGTGAACGGAGCTTGTGTGTTTTATCTATGCTTACTCTCATTTTACATCAAATTTATGAAATTTGGAAGCCTTTTCGAATAATTCTCAAGAAAATATTTCAATGTGTTTCAAAAAACAAAAAGTTGACTTTTTTCACCAAAAGGTCAACCTAAAGCCGGGAAAAAGTAATACTACTTTTTTCCCTACAGTAAAGTATGTAAATTAACAATCTAATTCTACCGTGACAAATAAACCGTAGATTATAAAATCATATACTTTTAATGCCCTCGTCAAACTAGACCACGATCGCACCACGCTCACCGCAATCTAAAATAAATTCAGATCGTGGTTAGGTCGTGGTATGAGCGGCATGAGAATGTAAATGTTCGTTGTTTTTACGATGCTACTACGTCCTCATTACGCTTCTTTAACGACCCGCTACGATTATACCACGTTCTCACCACGCTTAATCTGCGACCTCCCTGCGATTATCATAATCTTACTACGTTCATCACGTTCTCACTGCGATCATACCATGATTTATCCGATTGCAATACGATCTTACCACACTTCTACTGCGATTAAAGCACGCTCTTACCACGATCACACCACGTTCATACCGATCTTACTACGCTCTCAACAATAACGTCAACATCGTGTTCCATATAAAAACTGTCTATTCCTTCTATTTTGCATTTATACGTAGATTTCACAGTCATGCCACCAAAATCCATTAGAAATCTTGGGCGTGGTATAAGGGGTAGAGGTTTTTGGACATGTTTAAATTCTTCAACGATTGCTCGGTAAACCTCGGGTAAAAATGTGTTTATAGTATTCCAAGCAAATATAAAGTCATAATCCAAGGTCAAATATTTATCACCAGTAGCTAAATGTCTTAAAGAGATGACAAGTTTAAGACCAGGCGACAGGGCTCTTCTAAATAGAGTATCTGTCTTATTGATTCTTGGACCAACTCTTTTAAGAAGGTCATCTAACATCTCTGGTGGCATTTTAAAAAAATCAAAGAAGGAATGTTCAACCTCGATTCGTAACTCGTTTATCAACTGAGCATAATTACCAAACTGGAGTCTCCTTTCGGTTGACAACCATGGACGAACCCAACAGGACCTACGCCTGTAGAAGCATTACAACATGTTCATGGTCTTGTGTTTCCATGGTTCAATTGAAATTGAGGTTTCAAACAAAACCTGGAGAGCTTTTATATATTTTATGTGACAATTACAATGTCTAGAAATCGAAATGGTTGTAGATTGAACGTAGTCAGGTCGTAAGAAGAGCGTGATGATGACGGCATGAGCGTGTTAGAATCGTACTATGGTCTTGAACAGCTTGGTATAAATGTGGTATAGTCGTAGTGGAAGCGTGGTTAGGTCGCGACGAGAACGTGATGGTCGTAGTAAAGTCGCTGTGAGATAGTAAAGCAGTTTTTCCGACTAGAATCGCGCTTTCGATGCCTTTTCGCTACGGTGGTACAGCGACCTTTGCGATTTTACCACGACCTTACTGCGCTCCCAGTACCTTTTTACTGCGACCTGATTTCGTCACGACCGCACCACGATTGTTTTGTACAAGTTCAAAGTTGGTCCACGCGTATCACGGTCACGAAGACATCACCACGACCATAAACGACCTTACTGCGATTTACACGATCGCACTACTATCGTCAAAATTTGCACTTTTTTCAAGATCGTAGTGCTATCGTGGCTTAGTGTCACGAGGGTATAATGCGGCGTCTACACAGTGCCGATTGTGGCTCCTGTTTGAGACCAGACAGTGCTAGGATACGAAAAGTAAAAAAAGTCGGATTACTATCTTGAATGATCTGGAATGTCCTATCATAATCTGAACGCAGTCGAATACGTTAGTAACCGATTCCTACGGATCGGGAATGGTCCGGAGAGGTCGGCTAAACACCCCGACAGTTTTTTGCGTCCTGTAACTTTCTGATTGTTGTCGTGAATAAATATTGTTTTTACAAATTTAAATTAAGCTGGGGTCACACATTCACAATTTTTTACTGCCGTCCTTGACAGGAACATTCCCGATTAAAATTTGTCAAAAGTCTGATGAAGATTCTGTGAATTGTGGCTGGAAATTCAAACTTTAATTAAAATTTGTAAAAACATTTATTGAATCACGACAACAATCAGATATTGTGCAGGAACGTCCAAATTCAACCGTTTCTAACTGAATTTGTCCCGATTATTCTGTTCTCAATCCGATTCTTATCCGAATAGTATCTTTCACATGGTACAAAACGACCGAATCTGTCCCGACAGCGTCCCGATTCTACCGAATGTGATCCGACAGAGATCAGACAGTGACCAGACAGTGAACCGACGCTGACGGAAGATATCCGTGAAAAAACTGACGCCATATTCGGGATGATCAGATACTGTCGAAACGCAATCCTATCACAGTCTGCTGTACCGCATTGCAGACGGCTTTATCTGGACTCAGTCGTATTGTGATCTGTAATTGTTGGGACTCTGACGTGGGTATCATTGGCGAATTTCGTATTTAAAACGGGACTATTCCGGAACGGAATCGGCATGGACGGTTCGCATTGGGCAAGATCTTGATGCATTCTGGACTCAAATGGCAAAAAAAAACAGTAATGACAAATTTCTCCAGATCATGCACGTTCCAGAGGACAACGTCCAGAAAACACAGAATATTGTTACGATTTTAATCCGATATATCAGAATTTGTCACAACATAGTCACGATTGTAATCCGACTAAACAAAATCAGCTGAGTTTCCTCGAATGTTACGGACGCACCTAACTGTTGGGATTACTTGGCCGACCTCTCCGGACCATTCCCGATCCATATGAATCTGTTACGAACGTATACGACTTCGTTAAGATAAAGATAGGACATTCCAGATCAATGAGGATAGTAATCCGAATTTTTAACTTTTCGTGTCTTAGCGCTGTCTGATCTCAAACGGGACCCGTAATCGGCACTGTGTGAACGCCGCATTAAAGTTTAAATTTCTAGCCACGATTCACAGGATCTTGATTAGACTTTTGACAAATTTTACTCGGGACTGGTCCTGTCAAAACTGGCTGTAAAATTCGTGAATGTGTGACCCCGGCTTAACTTGGAAAGATACTCTCTATTCTTTGTGCAAGATAACGACATGTTTCTTCACTGTGACAACATTTTGAATTACACAATACATCCTGTGATTTGACATGATTAGACAAATTAAATAGTTGGATTGATAGTTTCTATATTTGTATAGTGATTTTTATTCTTTAATAATTTCGGATAAAAGAATAAAAAACTTTTTATTTTCGATACCGAAATTATCGTGACGGTAGAATATCAAGATATCACTTTTTGCTCATCGATGTTTTACCGTGATCAAGTAGGTATCAACAACAACAAAGTTATTTTCTATATATATCATGTTTTTTGCTATGCTTCATTTATAGTCCATAACAGTGTTTTCGTATTTATACACCCAGCACATCCAGACTGGCCTACATAAAGAGAACAGCAGGGTTACAATATATCATGCAAAATGAAAACTAGTCGTATGTATTTTTCACTTGACAAACTCTTGTAATTGACACACTAATTTGAATGCAACTCAATGAAAATGTGAAAAAAAACTCTAAGGGTCAACTTGGTGTACTTTTAACTCACGTCAATAATGACGATACACAGGTAAACAGTAGACAACTGCATAATTCTATAAAACAGTCTACATTATTTAGAGCTTGAGTTTCCGTATTTCGAATTTTAAGATCTCAGAAAGTGAGAAATACATTTTTTGAATTCTTAATACCGTTTTTGAATTTAAAGTCCTATACTCTCTCCCTACAAAAACTAAAGAGAAAAGAAAAGGTTTCAAGAGTTGTAGTAAAAATATAGCAACTAAACATTGTTTGAAAACTTGATATTTTTAATCGATTAAGTATGCTTTGCAAAACCTCTCATTCGACCTATTTCCTAGCCTTGTATGCATAAAATTTCACGTATTGCTACAATGTATAGTTATTTTATAAGTAATGTCAACGCTAAACTGTCATTGCATTTCTTCATGTAATTTTTGCATGATGAAGCACAATATTGTAAATCTGAGAAACATTAGATATATGCATGTCCAATCAGGAAGTGTTCTCGACATGTTATATGATTCCTATCATTGTATGCTTAAGAAAAGTTAATGCCGATGTTTGTTAGTTTTGAACTGTTCGTATAGCTTCACGGAACAATCTAAAAAAGTTCACGTTTGTTTAGTACGCTCTATGGTTTTGTGACCTATACAATAATTTTAATGAACTGTGGAATTTTTAGATACTCATCTTTCGATATGTTGCGTAATTGAAAGCAACTTGTTTTATAACTTATATCACAATAAATGATAACATGTTAAGAAGTCAAATTCTTAAGATGAAACTTCACAATCGTTCCAAAATAGAGGCAACAGTAGTTGAAAGATGCTAAAATTTCATAAACCAATTAAAAAGATATAAACCAAAGTAAAAACGCAAAGTCAGGGAATCGAATAAACTCGTACAACCTGGTTCGTCGAAAAAGTATCGTCTTTCGCTAAACATGCATTACCCTTAGATACAAGATTGAGCGATAATACAAAAAAGAAACCGAAGAAAAAAGAATAAATTTAAAAAAAAACAGCAGAAATAGAATCAAAAGAGAAAATGTTCCTGGTGTTTTTCCCTTTTCTGTAAATAAGGTGTCATTATACTGATGTATTATTTGTAGACATGGTAGAAAAGAAGCGTGTTGCAGACATATTTATGATGCTGGCACCTTTGATTGGTTGTGGCTTTTTAACATACAAAACTATACCTGCTAAACACAAAGGTACTTTAAAGCATATTATTAGTAACAGCATACCGTTTCTTTGTAAAGTATCGTGATATGTAGATTGAACATGAATTATACTTTAATCTGACTACATGCTCACATAAGTATCAACATTCAGTTTTGCTTGTTCTAAATTTCTTTGTATGTAAGCATTATCCTTTTACTTTATGTTCCGCTTTATAGGAAATATCCTCTTCCTTTATAATTTAAAGTTGGTGACTATGCTGAACGCACCTATACCACAAGTTTGAGCTTTCTAAAAAGCTGTTGACTGCTTCGCTCTATCCTAATTCAAGGTAATATGTGTGCATGTGGTTTTTGATTTAGTATTGAAAATGTTGTATTTTTAGATATTGATTGATATACAATGGATGTATTAGAGTTGCAATATCAATTTTTGTATATATATTAAGATGAAATTTTCTCAAGTTTTGAACTGGCTGTTCAGTGTTTAGTTGTCATTGTGTTTTTGTGGAATGTGCTTTTCTAGTTCTTTCAGCTGGTCATTGACTTGCGATTTTGATTGCTAGTTCTGTATATAATTTATTTCGATCTATATAAATGTTTAGGTATGTTGATTATGAGTAACTAAATGATGTTGTTCTACTTTAAAAGAGGGGCGAAAGATACCGGAGGGACATTTAAAAGTGTGCGTTATACCCCATGGTTTTAAAATTTTGTTCACTTTATTTGTTGAAAATTACAAATAGACACAACTCTAGAGGTGTGCCTCTCTTGAGGTGTGCCTAGATTGGCAGAAGTTATAAAATACAGATAATGCATTTTTGTAAACATTGTATAGGCACATTGTTTAGCAAAACAAATCGTGCATATTGCAGATTAACAAAGCAAATAAACACGTATCAATAATTGATATTTCAATATTGAATTTCAGATTGTTTTAGGGGGTTAATGTCCTTGCGGTTTTGTAATTAGGGACCAAAAAGGTCAGTTTAATTGGTTCATGGAAAATAAATAGGTTCGCAGACAATAACTTAGTGTAGCATGTTTATATATTGTCATAAAATTGCATAATATCTAATAAGATTAGTCGATTTAGCTAACAAAGTCCTTATATTTGAATAAAGTAACATTCATTTTTAGTGGAAAATTGTTTTAACATTAATTAAGCTATAATTAAAAATTGTTTGCTAGCCCTCTCTGTGATTAATGTAAGATAACTCTGGTCGATTTTCCCAACATTCTATCATTATGGGGAGATAATATAATTCGGCTATCATTTCTAGTCTTTTTAAAAAAAGTAAAAGATGTTTTGTATGTAGGTTCCAATTATATTTTTTCACTTAAGAATTTGGCATAAAATTGAAGTTTCTGGAATAAAGTGGTGGCTATGGTGTTCTGTTTTTGTGTTTGTGCGTATGTGTGTTTGTGTTAGGGGGTGTTACACTTCTTTCATGTATTTGTCTTTAGGGATCGAGTAATGCAGATAAATTAAGACAGCATGTCTGCTTCATTTGGGTTCTGACATAATTGTATACACCATATTAAAGCAACAAGCAGGATGAATGCTGTTGGAGATTATATGATGCATACTACAACTTGAAACAGTGTATTCCTGACAACAGAATGAAACATGTATTAGTCACCTGCATATTGTACCTCAAATGAAATTAGACAGAAAACTTTTTTTATATCATCACCAAAATACGGCTTTAAATGAGAACAATGTCATGATTACTTGGAAAAAGATACTATATCTGTGATTTCAGAGTAATTTGTCTCATCACACTAAGAAACTTAATGATGTTGAGGGTAGATGTGACCTTGCACACCCAGTGACGTTGCACACCCATAACAGTCTTGCACGGTCGGGATATTTATATGTATCAAAATAATATTTATAAGATAATAAAATAATTTTTTATGTTGGTATATATTAATTTTAAACATTTAAAAACAAATAAATGAAATTGTAGATATACATAAATGTCTTTAATAAACCAATAAAAAATACTAAGATCTAGTACATTTAAAAATTTTGTAACAATTTTTAATTCAATAAAATAACCGTACAGATGAAATTATGACCCTGTGCAAGGTAGACAATCAACATTATCACTTTTTGGAATTGAACATAGTACAAAGGAATGTAACTTTCGTACAAATGACACATCAAAAGAAACAATTATTACAGAACTCGTGCTCCACCTTCAATGACGATTCTGAATTATCAATACAACCAACAGTTGTAAATCTATAAGGTAGAGACAGCTAATGAATGCTAACCCACAGTGGTATATATTTGTTTGAATTTTTTTTAAACCTACTCGGATAAATGCATGAACTACTTGATTTTCATAGCTCATAATTAACGTGTTTACACATTGATATAATATGCTTGTTAAACATTATTTTAGCTTCTAATAGTATAAGACACAATACACCTCGTATGCTTGCATCAACTTACCCAAATAAATATGTATTTAAAGCCTAAACATTTTTATTGTTTACAAAATATCCATGTTGGAATTTTAATATTTATATCACAATTTCCGGTTAAGATTTGACTAAATACCAGTATCCCAAAATCGTCAGGTAAATATGCTACAGTTAGTGTAAGTGTTTGGATGTGTAAGACATTTAAGTACAAGGTTTCATTCCACAAAAGGAGGGTTGGCATTGATTGTGGGGGTTATTATCATAGCGGTTTTGAAGTTAAGGGCCAGAAACAATTATTTGTTTGGTTTTAAGACAATAACTTAAGTATTAGAGATATTTAGTTTGTCAATATTTTAACACAAGGTTCCACACCACAATAGGGAGGTTAGGATAAATTGTGTGGGTTATTGTCATAGCTGTTAAGGAATAAGTGACCAAAACAGATCAACAAAAACATTTTTTGTCATGTTCACAGACAATAACTTGATTGTGTATGGATCTCTATTGACTTCAGGCACAAGGTTCCATTCCACAATAGGAAGGTTTGGATTTATTTTTGGGCTTACTATTGTAGCTGTTTAGTAATTAAGGACAAAAAAGGGGCCAAAAACAAGCATTTTTCATGTTTCAGGACAATAATTTGTGTATATTTACTACAAGGTTCCATACTTTGAAAGAAAATTGGAAATAAAAATGGGGCCAAAAAATTAGGATTTTCTGATTTCTGGACAAAAACTTGAGTATAAGTCTATATATTGATATTTAATTGTGCCACAAGGTGTCATACCATAAAATAAAGTTTGGGCTTGATTTTTGGGGTTATGACCCTATTGGTTTAGTTAAAACGGGCCAAAACCAATACTTTGTATAAATTGCTTATTTGTTTTTAGCAATTTCAATGGGGTTTAATTCAAAAGTCCTAAATTCTTGAGAGTCTTAAATATGCTGAATCTAAATGGCTATTCAATATTTGGATTTGAGGGTTTGTTTTTTAAATGATTCATTACAGGTCCAAAAGGGTCCAAAATTCAACTTTTTTTGAATTTTTAAAAAAGTATATTACCGGTGTTCCTTGATATGCCGAATCTAACCATGTATTTATTATTTTCTAATTTCGAGGCCTGTCTTCAAATTGGTCTACGTTAAGGTTCAAATGGTCCAAAATACAACCTGTTTTTAATTTAAAAAAAACTATTGAATTCTTGGGGTTCTTTTATATGCCGAATCTAAGCGTGTATTAAGATTTTTGATTTGGGGCATGGTCGGCCCACATTAAGGTTCAAAAGGTTCAAAATTAAACTTTTTATTTTTATTTTAAAGAAAAAAGAATGGTTGGGGTTCTTTGATATGCTGAATTATAAGCGTGTATTTAGATATTTGATTTTGTGCACAGTATTCAAGATAGTCCAAATTGGGTTCCAAAAATGAACATTGTTTGATTTCATCAAAAATTAAATGGTTTGTGTTATTCGATATGGTCAATCCAACAGTATTTTAGATTGTTTTTGTTTTTGATTTTGTGCTTTGTTTTTAAAGTTGGTTCAAATATGGGTCCAACTTTAAACTTCAAAAATTGAATCATTGGTATTGTTTAATGTGTGCAATCTAAAAGTGTTTTAATTTTTTTAATTTTTGTTCCGTTTTTCAAACTGGACCCCATAAAGGTCAAAAGTATCAAAAATAAAACTTAGTTTGATTTTAACAAAACAAATAAACAATGTGGTTATTTGATATGCTTAACCAACCATATATTTAGAATTTGAATATTGGACCATTATGGGTAAATGTCTAATTTTAAAATTATTTAAAAAAGTGTCAGAAACCATGCTGTTACATATTTGCTCAAAATCTAAATTCAGAGATGTTATTGGACAATTAAAAGAATTGTTAAGTCGGGTCTTAATTCAAAATATATAAGATATACCATCATATATAATTCTAGAGAAATATTTTTGTGATTTACATCACTGGTTCATGGAAAATAAATTAGTTCACAGACAATAACTTTAGTATAAGTGTATGGATATGTAATAAATTTTAGCACAAGGGATCATACCACACACAATAGGAGGATTGGGATATCAAATAGTTAACCAAGCTAGATTTATTTTTAAACTAATAGACATTTTAAATTGAGTTATAGTTAAATATAGATTTGCTGATTCAGATATATTAATAGTGCTGATAATTGTGTTTGCATTGTGTTCTATTTTAAGATCGTAACATGCTTGAATATTTTCTTATGGTTGAAAATTCCCTTTGTCCATCTGTTGATTTCAAAGTGTTGGTAAGTGAAGTTTTAAAATACAGTTGTGCCATGCATTATGTTATGATACATCTTAATAAAAAAAATGTAATTTTTAAATAATAATAAATTTCTATTTAAGGATATATTTCATTACAATATATTGTATAAATATAGTGTTTGACATTGATAGATACGTTGCAGATATTAGTTTTTGACAAATGCAAGAAAACATATTGGGAACTATTTATTATATATATATATATATATAAAAGTCTAAATTGAAAACAACGTTCAAACCTATGATTGCGTTGGATAAAAACCGCAATTTTTATACGTGTGCATGTAAAAC